GATAGGTGTTATAGTGGGACTGTAATCTTGGCCCATTGAATTTCTTCCTTTTCCCTGTCCCAGTCCTGCCCATGTGGAGGGGTAGCAGCCAATGTGAAATTAATTAGGCATGGGGCCAGAAGAGCACTGCCCTCTTCTGGAATATCCTATGAATCTGCCCCATGTAGGAGGTGAGACTGCTGGGGATGGCTTTAAAATAGGCCTGTGGATATCAGGTGACTTTTGCTGCCCCAGGTCTCTCTGGCATCTCTTCTGCACCCAAGTGACACGGGATTCATCTGCATTTCTCAGTTGCAGAGGGTGAGTGTGTAACCCTGGTGTTTTTCATGGCCCTTGTACTATGGAGCAGTTGGTCCTGTCCTTGTCTCATGGTAGGAATACCAGGTGGGAGTGATCAGGTGGGACAAAGGGGTATCTCTGACCCACGATCCTGGCACAAGGGATAGGAGAATGAAATCAGAATTGGGTCTGTCGATAGTGCTGAGGTCCTGCTGTGGACTCTGCCATTGGACATCAGCATGGGATGGCAAGTGCAAATGCCAGAGCCTCAGTGTGGAATGGAAACAGGCAGAAAGAACATCAGGAGAGTGCACTGGAAATCAAAAAACACAAGTCACAAGCTCTGAAGATGGCGCTGTTACACCTGGCTAGGTTAGATACTCACATGATCCTAGCACATGTTTGCCTGGTCAAAATGGGGCCCTGCAAAGGCCCTGGGAACAGGATTCTGCCTGGAATGTCTGTATGAGGCACTGTGATCAGGGGGCCACCAAGGACCTGTGGAAAGGAGGAAGGAGGCGTTTGAGTGTTCACAGCTTGAGGTTCCAAGAGGCACTCACAGCACCTTTGTTTGTTCCGGATCCTCAAGATAAGATGAGTGCCTGCTTCTGTTCCTTCTCTTTGGAGATGACATTGACCAAAGGAAAAGACAGATGAATTCAATCTTCTAATGGGTTTATTCTTTTCTCATTCTCCTAAAGTTTTAGGGTTCAGCTTTGTAAACCACTGCCTTGTAACCAAATCTTCCTGTATCAGCTTAAAATGAGAAATGTCAAATGAATTGTCATGTAATCATTTGACATAAAAATAAGCCTGTTATAAGAATAAGCCTAAAGATTAGTTGTATTATCTTTTCTTCTCCCTGGCAGCACTGTGAAATATCCCTTTAGGAAGCATCAAATTGGATAAATTCGAATAGTTACTACTTCTCACGTTGAAAATTCACCAAGAACTGGCTTGTACCACCATCGTGGTAGTGCCATTGCCCCTGTTCTAAGACGCCTGTGTTCCTGCCACTTGAATTATAATTTGAATGAACAGATGAATAAATGGACACTTCCTGAGTACATGGCATGTGTTGTCCTCTTTCACAGTAGCCAGAGAGGGAGGTAGTATTGTTTTCACTCTGAAGATGAGAAGACTCAAGGTTTGAAAAGCTCCCATGACTTAAGATCATAATGCCAGTGAGCAGCAGAGCCAGAACCAGAAGCTGGGTCCATTTATCTCTGAGTCATAAGTTTCTCTGCCACAGTGTTCTCTACCTTCCGAAATTGACTGACCACTTTCCTGGTCCCAAGCACTAGCACTGTGCATTTTCATGGATGTTATCTCATAAACCTATTCTTACAGCAACTCAATGACGTGGGCATTCATTTCATAGATGACATAAAACCGAAGTTCAAAATATATAACCTACCCAAGGTTACACAGGGGGCAGTACCATGCAAGAGAAAATGAGGAAGAAGCAAAAGCGGGAACCCCTGATAAACCCATCAGTTTTTGTGGGGTTTTTTCGCTATCACGAGAATAGCATGGGAAAGACTGGCCCCCATGATTCAGTTACCTCCTTTTGGGTCCCTCTCACATGTGAGCATTCTGGAGATACTGAGATTTGGTTGAGGACACGGCCAAACCATATCAGTGCCGTCTTTAAAGGGTTTATTAATTGGAAAGGCTAGGGGGAGATGGATGTCTCACTTCAAAGGTAATGCATATTCTTTTGATAAATGAAGCTGTAAGCTATACCAATAGATGTAGGTTGATAGGTAGGAGGAGATATATGTAGAAAAAGGCTGATTATGTCCCAACCAGCTGCCTATTCCTAATAAAATCTCTGAGACAGAGACAGAGGACAGTGTTCTCTCTGGACAGAGGATAATGTCTGGCGTTTGAATACTTCTAATAAGCAAGTAAAATACCTGGTGTGGAATAACAGAGATCAAGGCCAGACTGGGCCTTGATTTTCTTTTGCTCAAGTTAGAGTCAGGAGGGAGTACATGCCACAGAGGTGGTTTTGTAAGGGCTAGAGCTGAGCCGGCCAGCTCTGTGGGAGACAGTCAGAAGAGAGGAAGACAAGTGCCTTCGAAGAGAAAGAAGCCACCGGGTTCCTGACTCTTCTGTGTGGAAGGGAAATGACCAAAGACAGAACAGATCCCTAGGATTTTTTCCTCCCTCCTTCCTTCCTTCCTTCGTTCTGTCTTCCTTCCCTCCCTCCCTCCTTCCCTCCTTTCTTTCCTTTTCTTTTTCTTTCTTTCTCTTTTTCTCTTCTCTCTCTCTTCTTTTTTTTTTTTCTATTTTTTTTTTAATTTTTTATTTTTTTTAATTGCATTTTAGGTTTTGGGGTACATGTGATGAACATGCAAGATTGTTGCATAGGTACACACATGGCAGTGTGCTTTGCTGCCTTCCGTCCCCTCACCTGTATCTGTCATTTCTCCCCATGCTATCTCTTCCCACCTCCCCACCCCCGCGCCCCTCCCCCATTTCCCCCCAACAGACCCCAGTGTGTAGTGCTCCCCTCCCTGTGTCCATGTGTTCTCATTGTTCAACACCCGCCTATGAGCGAGAATATAAGGTGTTTGATTTTCTGCTCTTGTGTCAGTTTGCTGAGAATGATGGTTTCCAGGTTCATCCATGTCCCTACAAAGGACGTGAACTCATCGTTTTTGATGGCTGCATAATATTCCATGGTGTATATGTACCACATTTTCCCTATCCAGTCTATCATCGTTGGGCATTTGGGTTGGTTCCAGGTCTTTGCTATTGTAAACAGTGCTGCAATGAACATTCGTGTGCACGTGTCCTTGTAGTAGAATGATTTATAATCCTTTGAATATACACCCAGTAATGGAATTGCTGGGTCAAATGGGATTTCTATTTTTAGGTCCTTGAGGAATCGCCACACTGTCTTCCACAATGGTTGAACTAATTTACATTCCCACCAACAGTGTAAAAGTGTTCCTATTTCTCCACATCCTCTCCAGCATCTGTTGTTTCCCGATTTTTTAATGATCGCCATTCTAACTGGTGTGAGATGGTATCTCAATGTGGTTTTGATTTGCATTTCTCTGATGACCAGTGATGATGAGCATTTTTTCATATGTTTGTTGGCCTCCTGTATGTCTTCTTTTGTAAAGTATCTGTTCATATCCTTTGCCCATTTTTGAATGGGCTTGTTTGTTTTTTTCTTGTAGATCTGCTTTAGTTCTTTGTAAATTCTGGATATCAGCCCCTTGTCAGATGGGTAGACTGCAAAAATTTTTTCCCATTCTGTTGGTTGCCGATTCACTCTACTGACTGTTTCTTTTGCCGTGCAGAAGCTGTGGAGTTTGATTAGGTCCCATTTGTCTATTTTGGCTTTTGTTGCCATTGCTTTTGGCGTTTTGGTCATGAAGTCCTTGCCTACACCTATGTCCTGAATGGTTTTGCCTAGATTTTCTTCTAAGGTTTTTATGGTATTAGGTCTGATGTTTAAGTCTTTAATCCATCTGGAGTTAATTTTGGTGTAAGGTGTCAGGAAGGGGTCCTGTTTCTGCTTTCTGCACATAGCTAGCCAGTTTTCCCAACACCATTTATTAAACAGGGAGTCCTTTCCCCATTGCTTGTTTTTGTCAGGTTTGTCGAAGATCAGATGGTTGTGGGTATGTTGTATTTCCTCTGAGACCTCTGTTCTGTTCCATTGGTCTATATCTCTGTTTTGGTACCAGTACCATGCTGTTTTGATTACTGTAGCCTTGTAGTATAGTTTGAAGTCCGGTAGTGTGATGCCTCCTGCTTTGTTCTTTTTGCTTAGAATTGACTTGGCTATGCGGGCTCTCTTTTGGTTCCATATGAAGTTTAAGGTGTTTTTCTCCAGTTCTGTGAAGAAGGTCATTGGTAGCTTGATGGGAATAGCGTTGAATCTGTAAATTACTTTGGGCAGTATGGCCATTTTCACGATGTTGATTCTTCCTAACCATGAACATGGAATGTTTCTCCATCTGTTTGTATCCTCTCTTATTTCGTTGAGCAATGGCTTATAGTTCTCCTTGAAGAGGTCCTTTATGTTCCTTGTTAGTTGTATTCCTAGGTACTTTATTCTCTTTGTAGCAATTGTGAATGGCAGTTCGTTCTTGATTTGGCTCTCTTGAAGTCTTATTACTGGTGTATAGGAATGCTTGTCTCTCTTCTTTTTCTTTCTCTCTTTCTCTGTCCCTCCCTCCCTCCCTTCCCCCTGCCTCATTCATTCATTCATTCATTCATTCTTTCTTTTTTTCAGGGTCTCACTCTGTTGCCCAAACTGGAGTGCAGTGCCCTGATCACAGCTCATTGTAGCCTCAACCTGCTAGACTTAGGCAGTCTTACTGACTCAGTCTTCTAAGTAGCTGAGACTGCCAGTGTGTGCCAACATGCCTGGCTAATTAAAAAAAAGTTTTTTTGAGGAAGAGGTCTTGTTATGTTGCCCAGGCTGGTCTTGAACTACTGAGCTCCAGAGATCCTCCTGCCATTCCCAGAGTGCTAGGATTATAGGCATGAGCCACTGCACCTGTCCACCCATATGTTTTTTTTAACCAAACGTGAGATTAACAGTGCAGTTAACCATTTTGCTTACTGGTCTGCATACTTAACATGTTTATGTATGTTGGCATGCTTCATAACTCAGCTTTGCCCAATCTTTGGTTACTCTGTAACAATTCTGTGGTATAAATGACTGAAGTATGCTTCTGGTTTCCTTTCTGCAGGCTTGGTTTAGAAAGAGCGGAAACAGCTAAAGAAGCCTTAGATGTCATTGTCTCCTTGTTGGAAGAGCATGGACAAGGTGGGAATTACTATGAAGATGCAAACTCCTGCCACAGCTTCCAAAGTGCATATCTGATTGTGGATCGTGATGAAGCCTGGGTGCTCGAGACCGTGGGAAAGTACTGGGCTGCCGAGAAAGTCACAGGTGAGCGGGTGCGGATGGTGGAGAGTTTTGAGGACAGGGAAGGCCACAGAGGTGGGGTGGCCTGCATGTACAGCGTCAGACCTGGAGGAAAGACACTGCCACTGCAGGTCCTCTCTGTGTGGGACTGTAGTGCTTTGACATGCCTCTTATTTCTGGGCCCCTCCAGGAAGAGAACCTGGAGTCTCCTGAACCTGGGGTGAAGCACTCTTCTCACATTTTGTATTTTCTGTTTGCTTTCTGGGAAGAGCCTGATTTTGACTACCAGGAATTCCGTGACTTAAACCATAACTCTATTAATTGGCCACAAGAATGGTGACTGTTCTTGTGTAACAGGCCAACAAATCCCTTCACTGTACAGTAACCCCTCATCACCCCCAACCCTGGAGATCTTTGTGCTTGGCATGTTCCTCTAAAATAGGAGCTGAGATCTGCATGAGCACCAGTGTATGCCACTCTGGCATTTCTGTGAGTGAAGTTCATTTTTCTCACAGTGACACAGTGTTCCCAGAAGAGCAGAGGACTAGTTGATCCACCCAGAAGGATTTAGTGCTCATAAAATTGCTGCTCTGTGGCCCCTGCAGCCTCTTGCTTCTAACACAGCCCTGAGGAAGGAAGTGTTAGGGGTGGGAGTGGTAGTCTTATATCCCTGCCTCAGCATCCTCGTTTTCTGGACAGGATGAAATCCCAGAATGGCTTAAAGGGCATTCTGGGATCTCATCTAAGAGGGAATTGGCCCCGGCACCAACTTGGGACTGAGTGGTGAACACATGGCAGGCGTGTGCACTGTCATTCTTCTCTTTTCTGCTAATGGCAGAGGAGTAGATCACGACACTTTTCTTTTGTTGAACCTATTCTTGGCCTATGTATTTTTCTTAACTAAACTTACCAGGACATCTCTTCCAAGTAATCCAAAATGATGTTGGGGATGAAACTTGTTTGCCATCCCTATCTTAGGGGTAAATTGAACCAAATTTGACCTGAGTTAGAAGCAGAAGATCTATCACAGTAGATGGAAATGAAGCCCGTTTCCCATGGACAGAGTTAGTCCAGTGATCAGGGCTTCTCTGGATGATGGGTACGTTGTACTGTATACAAAATTACCCCAGTGAGGCAATGAAATCTAGACTGTGGCTTCCTGGCCAAGCTGTATGAAGGTTGTGTCTGTCTGGAGGCGGGGGTGTCTTCTTCCTAGGGTGCAGAATGGTCTAGTGGTGTCCATTAGTAATCATGGAGAGTTTCTCTGCCTCATAAGCCCAGCATGTGCCCACCCACCAGGGTGTGTGCCTCCTTGCCCAGTTCTTCCAGTATTTCTAGAATTAAGGCAGCCAGTGCAGTGCAGCCCACCAGGTCTCCAACTCTCCCGCAATGCAGGAGCTTAAACTCCTTTATATAAAGCCCTCCTAAGACGAAGTCTTACTATTGAATGGTTCCATCAAGAGGGCTAGTGATCCATTGTTCAAAGCAATCATATTGCTTTTTTTTTTTTTTTTTTTGAGACTGAGTTTCGCTCTTGTTACCCAGGCTGGAGTGCAATGGCGCGATCTCGGCTCACCGCAACCTCCACCTCCTGGGCTCAGGCAGTTCTCCTGCCTCAGCCTCCTGAATAGCTGGGATTATAGGCACGCACCACCATGCCCAGCTAATTTTTTGTATTTTTAGTAGAGACGGGGTTTCACCATGTTGACCATGGTTGGTCTCGATCTCTCGACCTCGTGATCCACCCGCCTCGGCCTCCCAAAGTGCTGGGATTACAGGCCTGAGCCACCTGCGCCCGGCCTCATATTGCTTTTAAGTTGAACCTAATACTTTTTGATCTATGACTGAATTTCAAAAGCTGAGTGTCTCTTCAAGATGTAGCTTAAAAAAATTATCTACACAAAATGAATGCTGCCTTTCACTAAATATTTACATAAAAAGGAACACCAGCCATTTCTTGGACTCATTGATTTTGTGTTGTCTGATCCCAGCAGCCGTGTGATGGATTGCATAAGATTTAATGCACTCCATCTTCCAAATGCTAACATTCTTGAAAGCAAATGTCTACTATAAATCTGCCCTCTTGGAAACTAATATCCGTAGAGTGGCTTACAAGAGTATTTTTTTAATAGCATAGTATGAATGATGCCAAAATCACTTGTTTAGGCCAAAACTGGTTTTTATTTTTAATTGTTTATAATTGTACTTTTATGGTGCTCTCTGAAAAGATAAATGACAAAGGGCCAATGCCCACCAGCCAGGAATGCTTATTTTGGAAGTGAAAACTAGTGAAGCAAAACATGCTGAAAGAACTCAGTCCAGCACTGTTCCCGCTTCTAGGAACGGGTTTTCAGGCAGTGAAGGCTTTCCTGTAGCTTGTAGTTTAGATTCTTTCTCTCACTTCATTCTACAAGAATTTGGAAGATCAGCATGCTCCCTGGAAGCAGCAAGTAGGAGTGGCCCTTTTAAGCTAGCGCTGATAACTTCCTAGTGTTTGTGCTCTAGACAGCATCTTGAAGCTGGAAGGCTGAGTTGTCCTGTGTGCATTTGCAGCTCAGGCTTTGAAGAAGATATAGCAAGCCTGCCAGCTGGTAGAAGAGTTTCTGGTCTAAGTCCTCATTCATCAAAATGGAATGTACTCAGAATGCAGACATTTCTGATTCTAGATGTATTTAGTTCTTCTATTTTTATTAGAAAAAATTTCCCATAGATTTTTCTTTTCTTTTTTTTTTTTTGAGACAGAGTTTCGCTCTCGTCACCCAGCCTGGAGTGCAGTGACAGGGCCTTGGCTCACTGCAGCCTCTGCCTCCCAGGTTCAAGCGATTCTTCTGTCTCAGCCTCCCGAGTAGCTGGGATTACAGACATGCACCACCAGATCTGGCTAATTTTTTGTACTTTACTTGGTAGAGACAGGATTTCTCCATGTTGGTCAGGCTGGCCTCAAACTCCTGACCTCAGGTGATTCGCCCACCTCAGCCTCCCAGAGTGCTGGGATTACAGGCGTGAGCCACTGCGCCCGGCCTCCCATAAATCTTTCACACACACACACACACACACACACACACACACACACACTTTATCTCATACACTCACACACATACCCAGACATACGTATGTTCATGAATATGTTCCATTATTCTAAAATGATTCATTATCATTGCCACTATGCTTTTCTAAATGTTGATACCTGAAAAAATGTTGAATGAAGTATTCAATTTGTATTTTTTTAAAAACCATATATATTTGGGCGAGGAGTGGGGGTGTAAAGTGTTTTTCCAGGCGAAAAGAAATCAGACGGGGGAGGGGGCTTTTTGTAAATGTGATAGAGCATTGCTTTAGAGGACTCTGAGAGATTGCTAAGTCTTGTTAACTCAGTACCTCTTTCAAAGCACCTGTCCCTTTTTTGTGTGTTTAAGTAATGAATGCTTGGGGCTTATGTAGTCAAAATAAAGAGTCTTACATATTTCCTTTTGATTATGCTTTTAAGATGGGTAAAGTGACTGTTGCTTAATTAAAATGTGATAATGCCCGGTCAAGACTGGTCAACCGTTTTTGGAGGTCTCCTAGAAAGAGATTTAAGGATTGTCTCTCTCTTCAGAAATTAAATTGATTCCACCCTGTAGTTAAAGTCAGTGTTTCAGAGGAAGGATTCCCTATACATTTCCATTTCTTGAGCAAGTCTCTATAAGTATCTTTTTAACTAATAGAGTTTTGCATTCTCTGCAGAGGGAGTCAGGTGCATTTGCAATCGGCTTTCGCTCACCACTAAGATGGACGCAGAGCATCCGGAACTCAGGAGTTATGCTCAGAGCCAAGGTTGGTGGACGGGAGAGGACGAGTTCAATTTTTCCGAAGTCTTTTCTCCAGCTGAGGATCATCTAGGCTGCTGCGCTGGCAAAGACAGCTTAGAGAAACAAGAAGGTGAGTTAGTCTCTCCCTCACGATTCTTCTCATACCCTTTCTCTTGCAGCTGTTTCTGAGAACTTGTCTGAACTTATAAGGGTGAACAAAAATAAAGATCTACTTGTGCTAAAAGTCCCTGATGTGTAGGCAAGAAAACAACTTTCGTTTATTTTTACATGCTGCTTCCTCATCCCTGGAGGTTTCCTGCTCCTACCCATGTTATTCCCTTTCATCTCTGATGTCATCCTGATGTCTTGTAATACTTACTGCAGCCTTCCTTATATGTATGTTATACATATGACTCATCTTCTCCTGCCCCATCAGCCTACTGGGCCTTGAGGGCAGAGGTGTTGTCTTTTACTCATCTTAGGGTCCCCTTGTGATGGCAGCATAGTTTTTTGTTCCATGGACACTTGCTGATTTGAATTGTTGCCAGTCTGTCTGCCAGCTAGTTACTAACTTATTTATTTGTTTAAATTTTGAGACAGGGTCTCACTCTGTTGCTTAGGCTGAAGTGTGTTGGCATAGTCTCGGCTCATTGCAGCCTCTACCTCCTGAACTCAAGTGATCCTCCCTCAGCTGCCCCGCCCCTCCACACCCACCCCCCCCCACCCCCCCCCCCACCCCCCCCCCCCGCTGTCGTCCCAGTAGCTAGGACTACAAGCATGTGCCACCATGTCTGGCTAATTTTTTTTTTTTTTTGTAGAGACAGGGTGGCACCTGTCTCTCATTTTGTTGCCCAGGCTGGTCTGGAACTCCTGGGCAGCCCACCTTGGCCTCCCAAAGTACTGGGATTACAGGCTTGAGCCACTACACGCAGCTCCTAGTTATTAAGTTAATTAGAATCCGTATTTAGGTATATGTGGTGGCTAGACACCTCCTTACTTTTGTGCCTATATGGAAATCCTTCCAAAAAGCCCACAATGGTCATTCTATATTTGTTGATGTATGTATTTTTAAGTCAAAGTTTTGGATCATTTAGGGGTCAGCAAACTATGATCTGTTGGTAGCTGCCTGTTTTGAAAATAAAATTTTATTGGAATGTAGCCACACCCATTTATGTATTGTTTGGGGCTGCTTTCTCACTAAAATGGCAGAGTTGAGCAGGTACAACAGTAAAGTTTCAACAGAAATTGTATGGCCTCTAAACCTAAAATATTTGCTGTCAGGCCAGGTGCATGTCTATAATCACAGCACTTTGGGATCACCTGAGGCTAGGAGTTGAGATCAAGATCAGCCTGGGTAACTTAGCAAGACCTCATCTCTAAATAAATAAAAGAATTAGGCAGATGTGGTGAGGTGCACCTATAGTTTCAGCTATTCAGGGGGCTGAGGTGGGAAGATTTCTTAAGCCCAGGAGTTCAGGGCTGCTATGATTGCAGTGAGCTATGATTGCACCACCACACTCCAGCCTGGGTGACAGAGGGAGACCCTGTCTCTTTAAAAAAGCAAAAAGGAAGGAAAATGTTTCCTGACTGTTAATCTAGACAGACACTAGGACTTTTGCTACAGTACTTATGTAATATATTCTGGGTAGGAAGGTAAGAAAATGTTCACTTTTAAATGGAAGCTTTAAAAAAAATCTAAGTTTTTTTAATTTAAAAAAACTAACTTAATGAAAGATATTAAATAGTGTTGCCAAAACATCAACTCTAAATCTGATAAAGGCTTTAGGTCTAGCTGCTAATTTACAGGAATACAGAGGACAGAAGAACACATACATTATTTAATGTAATAATGCCATGAGGATGCCATCTGCAAAACTTACACTATGAGAAGCTGCAGGAAAGATGACTCTGACAACTAAGATGCAAGCTGAGTGGCCACAGTGGCTCACACCTGCAATCCCAGCATTTTGGGAGGCTTTGGAGGGTGGATCACTGAGGTCAGGAGTTCTAGAGCAGCCTGGCCAACATGGTGAAACCCCATCTCTACTGAGCGTGGTGGTGCATGCCTGTAGTCCCAACTACTGGGGAGGCTGAGGTGGGAGAATCACTTGAACCAGGAGGCTGAGGTGGAGGTTGCAGTGAGCCAAGACCACGCCATTGCACTCCAGCGTGGGTGACAGGACAAGACTTCATCTCAAAAAAAGAAAAAGAAAAGATGCAAGGGGAAAAAACAGGAGACAGAGATGTTTCCAATTCTGATTGATTCCGATTCAAATCAATAGGCTTATTTATGAGACAATGAGGACATCTGAACACTGGACAACTGAAGCAATCAATGATTTGTTGTTAATAATTCTAGTATGACATGTAAATGGAGCTTTATGAAGAGGATGTAAATGTGCTAACAAACCTTCTCCCCATGTGATGCTTCAGTTCCATTGTCGTGAACACAGATTGAGATAGTATTTTAACAAATTATAACCTGGGGGAAGATGTAGAAGTGGGATCTCATGTAATCAAGGATTTGTTTATCCATTTATCTGTGGTCACAGCCAACAGTCCTAATGGCTCTTATTATTCTAAATGCCTCTCTGTGCATGTATTTCCCGCCACAGAGAGGACATTCTCCAAATAGGGTATTGACTCTGACCAGCAAGAGTTTATGGGAGTGAGCTTGGTGGCATGTGGGTAGATTGCACATACTTTCTTGTGGATATCTATTGAGTTGTTGTACTGATTGAGGTACAGCTGGATGCTGTAATAAAGACACTCCAAATTAATGTGTCTTAAAAAAATAGTAGATTATTTCTCTCCCATGTTATAGTTCAGGTATATATGGTCATTCCAGGGCTGGTTTTGGTGACTCAACACAGGAATTCCATTTGTGGTTGGCTTGTTGGCATCTCCTCGTTGACAGGAAGGGAGAAAAGAAAAACAAAAGGCAAATATAACCTTTTTAATAGGTGTGATGAGGAGTTGCACACCTGGTTTCTGCTTACCTCCTATTGATCGCCATTTATCACATGGCCACACATAGTCACGAGGGAAGTGGGGAAATAAAATCTGTAATTTGGTAGTTACATTCCAAGATATAATTTCAGAGTTTTCATTACTAAAAAGAGAACGAAGGAACAGTTTTGTGTTCTATCTGCTCTTTCCATCTGTGTCTCTTCTGTGTTTTTGCAGAAAGCATCACAGTGCAGACTATGATGAACACCTTACGGGACAAAGCCAGTGGAGTGTGCATAGACTCTGAGTCTTTTCTCACCACGGCCAGCGGAGTGTCTGTCCTGCCGCAGAATAGGAGCTCTCCATGCATTCACTACTTCACTGGGACCCCCGATCCCTCCAGGTTTGTCTTAGGCAGAACGTGTGTGCTTGCCTTGAAAGCTCATTCAGCAAGTGCGTCGTAAGTGCCTGACCATGTGCTCCCCTTGGACAGCAAAGGCACGTTTTCAGTCAGCCTCAGTGTGGGCAGTGTAGCACCAAGGGCTTTGATGAAATAAATTCCTCGGTTTTAGTCACATAGTATTTATGACAATCAGGGAATCCAGTAGTTCTTTTAAATTGATTAGGTTGGTTCAAAAGTAATTGTGGTCCTTACCATCCATTACTTTTGCACCAACCTAATATCAAATATTTACTGAATATATGTCGTGGGCCAAGCATTGTGTGGTACATGAGTGCTTCAGAGATGAACAAAACAGAGCGAGACAGAGAAACATGGGAATGCCCATGACTTATCAAAACAACCAGTTCCTGTGAGTTAGAAAATAAAACAGTTCAGAGGCAATACAGATTTGAAGCAGCTTCAAGTGTACTGGTCCCTTCTTGAAGATACTGTGTTTTAGGGGGTTGCTTTCTGCCCATGTACTTGAGCAAAGAGGCAACATTACACAGGGATGGAGACACAGCCTCTAGAATGACCTGCCAGGATTTGGAATCTGACCTCTGTCACACAGTAGTTGAATAAGTGATTTCACCTCTCTAAGCTTCAATTTCTGTATTTGTACAATGGGGATAATACCAGCCTGTACTTTTATAGGCTTGTTGGGAGGATTATATGAAATAACCCAAGTCAGTACATAGTAGATTTCATGATTATTTATGAATATGATCTCTGATCTCCCAGACAGACAGAAGCCCCTCTCCCCAATTACATTCTGTCACATATATCAGGAATCCTATCATTGGTAGCTTAGAACCAGCCATCCAGTGGTTTCTAAATCTCTTCATTGCTAGAATCACTGGGAGAAGTTTTCGAAAAATATAAGTTCCTTGACTCAAACCTATTGTATCACAATCTTTGAGGTGGACCTAGGAGTCTGTCAGGTAAGCCTGATCCTCAGCCTGGAAGGCTCTATAAGGCTGCCCATTCCAGTAGGTTCTCTGGTGTTTTTTTGGGTGTTCCATTGGCTGAACGTCATTATCAGTGTCTGAATGTCAGCTGTTAAACGTTTGAATCTGCTTCCAGGGTATTTGCTGGTATTAAATTTCATTCCTTTTGCAGCTGAAAATATTTATTCTCCTTTCGGGGATATAAGACAGTGATTGCATCTAGCTAGGGACTGATTCTTAGATGACTCAGGGGAAAAGTGAAGCACCTATTGTGACCCTTTGGCCTTAGTTTTTAAACTACTACCAGTATCAATAGATCTTTCTTTCCTTTTTTTTTTTTTGAGACAGGGTCTTGCTGTGTCGCCTAGGCTGGAGTGCCGTGGTATGATCTCGGCTCACTGCAACTTCTGCCTCCCCGGTTTACAGTTCACTGCCTCAGCCTCCCAAGTAGCTGGGATTATAGGTGCCGTGCCACCACACCTAGCTAATTTTTATATTTTTAGTAGATATGGGGTTTCACCATCTTGGCCAGGCTGGTCTTGAACTCCTGACCTCGTGATCCACCCACCTTGGCCTCCCCAAAGTGCTGGGGAGGCATGAGCCTTACAGACATGAGCCACTGCGCCTGGCCTCAGTAGATCTTTCTAACAGGACCTGACTGTAGAACTCCGTATTAGCTATTCTTAGTTTTTCATTCACTCATTCATTCTACAAACACTAAGCACCTACTGTGTACCAAATATTGTATTTGTTGTATAGCATGGATGAAGTGTGTGCAAGGAAAGAGGTGGCACAAATGAGATGATGAAGGGGAAAACCTCACAGAGGAAGGAGCTCTTGAGCACTGGCATTGTGGGAAGAGTCGGGGTTCGTTAGGTAAAAAGCAGGAACAACACTCCAGGTGGAGAGGACAGCACATGCAAAGGCAGAGAGTCACGAAACCACATGACAACAGGTTAGAGCCATACATCCTCCTACAGATAATGCTGGTCATCAGGTGTCCATTGCTCCTCTACCCCCAGCCCTCTGCAAAATAAGCTCAGTACCTCTCATAACAGTGAGGGTCAGCTTCTCTACACCACTCCAGACAGCCTCTCAGGATGCTCCTCCTGTTTGAGTCCAGTTGCTGTTCCCTTGATTTATCTCCCAGTTCTGAAGCCCTGGTTCCACTGCCTTACGTTCCACCCACTTTTTGGCCCACTGGATTTCGGGCTCCGCCTTCCCCTTGTGTCTGGGCCTCCCACCTCCTGGATTGTGACCTAGCTTACTCCCCTAATGCTGGTGGCTCAGTAGCCCCTTGTGAGGACTGTGCTGGCTGACAAGGGTACATATGCACATTTAGAATTCTATTTTCAAGTGTCTGGAATGCTCTGCGAAAGTATTTGGGCATGGCTTTTTAGGGCCTAGGAGCTGTTCAAAGAGTGGGTTGAACTGAACCAACTCCTGTTGTCCCTGGTGTCTCAGATACGGGCTCTAAGTGTGCTCAGGAGCTGGGGCCTTGTGAGGCCAGGACACCAATGTAAAAGAACTCCACTTCCTAGGCTGAAGGACACGGCCTAATCCAGTTATAAAAATGGCTGGGAAATAGCCTTCTGATAGTTAAAATCAGGCGTCCGCAAACTTTTTACACAGGGGACCAGTTCACCGTCCCTCAGACAGTTGGAGGGCCACCACATACTGTGCTCCTCTCGCTGACCACCAGTGAAAGAGGTGCCCCTTCCTGAAGTGCAGCGGGGGGCCGGATAAATGGCCTCAGGGGGCCCACGGGCCGTAGTTTGGGGACGCCTGGTTAAAATGAAAAATTTTAAGTGCTTTTAAAAGAAAATTATTCATGGTTAAATTAATTGAAAAGACCTTGTATTACAGAAGATTAAGACCCTTCCAGGAGACATTCATGGTTATCTTGCATGGTTAAACGAGCTGCATTTCCTCCTGTGCCTGTACAACTGTCATAGGTTGTTAGTCTTCCGATTCAGCATTTCAGTGTTTCTCTGTAATTGGGCGTGCTCGATGTATTGTATTTTGTCAGCAGGAAACATAGTTACCTTTTCTTGGATTTTCAGGCAAGAAAATTAGGGAGATTTTGGCTTCTGTTAATGCTAAAATATTAGAAATTGTTTCATAGCTACGGACTTGGAAAAGATCATGATCAAAGAGCAGCACTTCAGTCTTTATCCCGCCCAGTCAATGTGAAAACTGAAGGACTTGATCTTACTGTTGTTCTGCCTGACTGGGCACTTCTCTGTCCTTTGCTCACTGTATTAATTATGGATCTTATCCTTGAAGTAACTTGTGCTCACATCCTCTTTTCCCCTCCCCCCTCCCTCCCTCCTACCACGTGCTAGGTACCGTGTAAGGTTAAGAGACAGAAGGAGATGCTAAAGTCGGAGTTTGAATGCTTGAGGGAGATACAAAAGTTCTTCACTTAATGGTGTTGAGAAGGCAAATTGCATCAACATTCTGCAGAGTCAGTGTGTGCCACAGTCATTCAGAGAGTGACACTGATTGGCTTTAGTGTCCTGGTTCTGACCTTTGGAAACCGTTTCCTAGGAAGCCAACACTTGTTAAAACTTCATAGTTGTGAAGACTTGGAGGGGCGAGGAATAGAGAGGCACCTTAGCATTGTGGGACAGCGTAAAATTCGGAGTCTTACAGGGTGCTCGAGCCATGGATTGTAAAGAGAGCCTCTCTTCCTACTCCACGTTTGGTGATGTCATTGGCAGCTTGAAAAGGACCACAATGGGCGTATTTACACTACAGAAATTGGCAAATGCTATAAATCTCGACTTATTTTTTTCAGAGATATAGTTTTTAGGCCAGTAAACCACTAAGAGGTCCCCAAATCCAGAAAAATACACAAATAAATACTCAAGATATAGGCCAGGTGTGGCAGCTCACGCCTGTAATCTGAGCACTTTGGGAGGCCAAGGTGGATGGATCGCTTTAGGTCAGGAGTTTAAGACCAGCCTGGCCAAAATGGCACAACCCAGTCTCTACTAGAAAAAATACAAAAATTAGCTGGATGTGGTGGTGTGCATCTGTACTCCCAGCTACTCTGGAGGCTGACAGAGGGGAATCACTTGAACCTGGGAGGCGAAAGTTGCAGTGGGTTGAGATTGTGCCACTGCACTCCAGGCTGGGTGACAGAGTGAGACTTTGTCTCAAAAAAAAAAAAAAAAAAAAAATATATATATATATATATATATATATATATATATAAATAAATGAATAAATAAATAAAATACTCAAGATATGGGATGGGTAAACCAGAACAGGGAGAGAACGAAGAAGAAGTTACAGGAAAAAAGGGTGTCTGACCTACTTTAACTAGTGGCAGAGTGCTGGGGAGATACCAGAGACATTCCCCTCCACCTACTTTTCTGCATGTGTGTGTGTTTTCTTTGTTTCCTGCTCTTCTTTTCCTAGTGTACTAATCTTTCTATTTTTTATTTTTTGAGATGGAGTCTCACTCTGCCCAGGCTGGAGTGCAGTGGTGGGATCTTGGCTCACTGCAACCTCCACCTTCCAGGTTCAAGCAATTCTCCTGCCTCAGCCTCCCAAGTAGCTGGGACTACAGGTGCATGCCAACACTCCTCACTGATTTTTTATTTTTAGTAGAGATGGGGTTTCACCAAGATGGCCAGGCTGGTCTCGAACTCCTGACCTCAGGTGATCTGCCCGCCTTGGCCTCCCAAAGTGCTGGGACAGTGTACTAATCTTGAGAGGCTAAATTGGCTTGGCCAAGACATTACCATCTAGATAATTCAAATGCCAGAAATAGCTTTTTGTTACTGGAGCGGACATTATAAGCCTTGGTCAGCATGACTCATGTAGCCTCTGGAGGCACGTAGGGCACAGCCTGCATAGCTAGACACAGAGCCGAGGGCTCTAGGCAACATGGTGCCCATGCCTCCAATTTCGTTCTGAATTCTTCCAACACCAGTCCCCTCCTCTCTCTGCCCTACACGTTTGACTTCTTAAAACCTACCAGAGCCGCTGGATCCAGCTCACCAT